GGGGGGGAGGGGAAAAATTGAGGAGCTGATACCAAGGGCTCAAGTAGAATGTAAATGTTGAGAATGATGATGGCAACAAATGTACACATGTGCTTGACACAATGGATGGATGGATTGTGATAAGTTGTACAAGCCCCCAATAAAATGATAAAAAAAAAAACAATAGTTTTCTCCTTGATTATTAGCCCATGAGAGAAAATCAGTGCCTGTGTAAAAAGTGAGGTGATGGCAGACAGAGCACCCAGGAGGGAAACACACTGGAGGAGAACTTTCCCAAGGATTCATAGCTAAGACCGACCATGTATGATAGGGTGCAGCATTTAGAGAGAGAGCTACTAAAGGGGTCTTAATCTCAGTATGACTGGCTGTGAAATAGAGTTCTTCTAGAATGACGAGTGGAGCTCAACATGCATATATGCATTTATCTACAATTTTAAAAAGACACCTGGAGTCATTGTGAATTAGACTCAACTCAATGGCAAATTTTTGGAATGTGCACATTAATGTGGAAGAAAACATTAAAGCTTCAGTTAACTGGAAATTGGGCCCGAGTGTAACACTCCTTTATAGTGATGTTGGCTAAAGATGATGGTATGCTTATGTATACATAAGCAGATACAGATGATAAAATAGTTAAAAACATGTTTCTTCTTTTTCTGTATCTTTTATATACACTTCTATACTATCCTTGTTTACCTGTCCAACTTTGAACTATCTCATGAAGTCTTTGAGTTCAGGAGGCTGGCAGGGTGATTATACAAGATATTAAAAAAAATAATAGTTGTACCAAATGGAAATTCTCAGAGGAAAACAGGTAAGTCGAAATCATCATGGATTTACCGAGTAGAAGGGCTTTCTAGAGAAGGCTGAAATTTGATAGATGGGACCTGGCTAGTCAGAAGACAGGGGGAATGAACTGCTAAGCCAAGGAGAAGAAGCATGTCTAGAAAGACCTGGGCCGTTGGTTTAACACAGTCCACAAACGCCGTGTTCTTCTACATCCTATTCTTTGGGATTTCAAAAAGGTGCTACAAACATAGGATTGAGAAAATTAAGCTTTCTCCCATTCCAAGATCCTTTCTGGATTCATCAACTATGAAGTCTAGACCACATGGTACTTTACTTAAACCAATCTATCAGGACTCTCAAATGATTCTTTTTTTAATCATTTTATTAGGGGCTCATACAACTCTTATTACAATCCATACATACATCAATTGTGTAAAACATATTTGTACA